GCAAAAGCACCCTCCTGGGTGTCCTGACACATGGGGAGCTGGACAATGGCCGAGGCTTCGCCCGCCAGAAACTCTTCCGCCACAAACATGAAATTGAATCTGGTCGCACCAGCAGTGTGGGCAACGACATTCTGGGCTTTGACAGCGAAGGCAATGTAGTGAACAAGCCTGACAGCCACGGTGGCAGCCTGGAGTGGACTAAGATTTGTGAGAAGTCCACTAAGGTCATTACCTTCATCGACTTGGCTGGTCATGAGAAGTACCTGAAAACCACTGTCTTCGGCATGACAGGCCATCTGCCTGACTTCTGCATGCTCATGGTGAGTGGGAGGTGCCCCTTGGAGGGGAGGCTTCAGCAGGACTGCATGGGGCTGGTTATGTGCAAGCCTGAAACTGTTCTGAGACTGAGGCCTGTTGGTTTGGGGCTTTGATACTGGGTGAGACTGGCAAGTTTTGCGGGGGTGCCCAGTGCTCTGAGTAATGGTCTTTCTCAAGGTGTGAACCTTGATCTCTCCCTTACATGAGACTAGGGAAGGGATCTTTTTGGTAAAAAGCAGGTACCCTTGAAGACCTGTCTTATTTTTTGCAGAGGCATGGAGAAGGGTTTCTCCTGGGGCTTGTTACCTTCAGAAATGTTTTTTTGCAGAGGATTGGGCTACTTTGAGGAGGTGACACTAGGTAGGTAGTACCTTTAGATGGGGGTGGGCCTGGGGAAGAAATGGAGAAGAGAGCCACAAGGAGGCACAGGCCACAGTCAAGAGGCCCTGAGAGGTGGCCTCTCCTAGAGCGTGGGAGGAAGATCGGCCAGTGCACAGCCCTTGTTGAGAGGCTCCTGTGTGCTGGGTACCATGTGAGGTCTGATGATACAGCAGTGAACAAGGCTGTCCAGAGGCTCCCAGAAAGCTTAGGATCAAGTGTGGTTAAATTTTTAAGCAGCTATTCCTGCTAGGAACATTAAAAACAAACAAAAAAATTTTTAAGCATCTCATCTAATAAGATTAACTGAGAAAAAAAAGGAGCAGAGGGCTCTGTGTTGGATCCCATTGCTAAGCCTGCCTTTGTGACCCATTGATCTTCCTCCCTGGACAGACATGGGAGTGCTGAGGGAAGCCGCAAGGCCTGTAACCTTGTGCACATCTCCACAGCTTTCACAGCAGGAGGAAGGAAGAGGGAGGGCGGGAAGGGAGAGAGTCAGAGACACACGTGCCTTGAGTGTTCCCTTGGCAAGCCCTTCCCAAAACTTTCCCCATTTCTCGATTCCTTCAGCTGCCTGTATTAATAAATGTAGTAAACATGAGCATCTGTTCATAGCAGACTTGATCAAGTTGCTCCACAAACACAGGTTCTCAAGCAAATTCTCCCCAAACTGGAGCAGTAAAGGGAGGCAGAGCATACCATGTCAACACTTACAGCCTCTCTGCCTGAGGCTCTTGGGACCTCAGCATGCCTTTCCCATCTCCTTGAATGTTGCAAATGGCCATGACCAGCTTCTTGACTGGGCTGAGGAAAGCTGCTCACCAGGAAGAGATCTCAGTAGATGATCCAGAGGGCATATTTGGGGGAGTTGTTGGGTTGATATGAAGAAGGGTATAGAAACTGGTTGGGAATAAGCATTTTTCCAGCTCAGCTACAGTGAGTAAGACTAATTAATGAAAATGTCTTCACCCTAGACAAAATATTACGTATGTATTATCTGACTTACTGGTTGTGATCCAAATATTAACATTTCTGTAGAAAACAATGAAATATCTCATTATAGTTCCATGGTATTCAGTTTCTAGGAAAAAAATATTTAAGATATACAGAAAACAGAGCTGTAGTGCACTCTCTTCTCCAGGTTGGGAAGAGCAAAAGTGAGTCTGCATTGGATAGGAAAGGTGGCTGAAGGGCACGGAAAGCCTTAGGGGAAAGACTGTGGAGGTGTCCTGGTGGAGAGAGAGGGAAGTGCCAGCCGGGGTGACTCACCTGGGAGCTGTGGTGACCCAAGGGGCATCTCCAGGACACACTGGAGTGGATAGAGCACTGTGTAAATACATCACAGCAGTTTTTCTTTTTAATTTTCTTCTGGTTTAACATGGTACAAAATAGTGAAAAGTCTCCCTTCTGCCTCTGTCCAGTTTCTTCCCAGAGGCAACCAGTATTTCTAGTTTCTTGTGTACCTGCCAGAGATATTTTGTACTCAGACCAACACATGTGTGTATATTTTCTCCCTCCAATTTTAAACATTCAGAAAAGATAAAAGAATAGTATAATGAATACTATAAACTCGCCACTTAGATTCAGCAATCTTGAACATTTTGTCGCCAGACACAGTGGCTCACGCCTGTAATCCCAGCACTTTGGGAGACTGAGGTGGGTGGATCACTAGGTCAGGAGTTCAAGACCAGCATGGCCAAAATGGTGAAACCCCAGCTCTACTAAAAATACAAAAAAATTAGCTGAGTGTGGTGGCGGGCACCTGTAATCCCAGCTGCTCAGGAGGCTGAGGCAAAGAATTGCTTGAACCTGGGAGGCAGAAGTTGCCGTGAGCTGAGATCACGCCACTGCACTCCAGCCTGGGTGACAGAGTGAGACTTCGTCTCAAAAAAACCCCCAAAATTTGCAATAGTTATATGTATATATGATGGGTACATATGTGTATATATAATTTTTATTAATTTTTTTTTTTTTGAGGTGGAGTCTTGCTCTCTTGCCTAGGCCGGAGTGCAATTGTGTGATCTTGGCTCACTTCAGCTTCCACCTCTCGGGTTCAAGGGATTCTCCTGCCTCAGCCTCCCGAGTAGCTGGATTACAGGTGTGCCACCACACCCAGCTAATTTTTACTATTTTTAATAGAGACAGGGTTTCACCATGTTGGCCAGGCTGGTCTTGAACTCCTGACCTCTAGCAATCTGCTCACCTCGGCCTCCCAGAGTGCTGGGATTACAGGCGTGAGCCGCTGCATCCAGCCCTATTAAATTTTGTTTTTTCTCAAAGAAGGCGATTATGAAAACCTATTTAATTTTTTTAAAGAGACAAAGCCTCGCTTTGTGACCCAGGCTAGAGTACAGTGGTGCGATTATAGTTCACTGTAACCTCAAACTCCTCAGCTCAAGGGATCCTCCCATCTCAGCCTCCCTAGTACCTAGGACTACAGGTATGCACAGCCATGCCTGGCTAATACTGTTTTTTTATTTTTTTAGAGATGAGATCTTGCTATGTTGCCCAGGCTGGTCTCAAAACTCTTGGCTTGAAGTAATCCTCCTACCTTGGCGCCCCCCCCCCCCCAAGGTGCTGGGATTACAGGTATGAGCCACCGTGCCCAGCCAAGTATATAAGTTTAGTTTGGGGCTTTTTTTTTTTTTTTTTTGGCTGAATCACTTGAAAATAGTGGAAATGTCTTCACCCCAGACAAAGTCACAATATAAACATTGTGACCTTTCACCCTCAAACACTCAGCGTAAAAGTTAGGCTGGTATCTTACTGTGTTTACAATCAAGAAAATGAATAATAGTTACCTAATATCCTCCAATATCTATTCTGCATTTATGTTACTTCAGATGTTTCCCACGTCTTTCAGCTGCTTTTTTTTTTTAAGGCATTAATTAATTACCACTTATCCTTCCCACCTTTTATTTTCTACAGCTTTTTTTTTTTTTTTTTTTTTTTTTTTTTTAGGAGAGAGGGGGTGTAACCATGTTGGCAAAGCTGGTCTTGAACTCCTGACCTCAGGTGATCCACCCGCCTTGGCCTCCCAAAGTGCCAGAATTACCGGTGTGAGCCACCATGCCCAGCTAACCACTCACCTCTTTTTATGATAGCATTCTATATATATCTTGCTTTTTCCCTCCCTCTTAAAAACATATCTTAGAGATTCATCCATATCAGTAGATAAGAATTTATTCTTTCTTTTGTACAGCACATTTTATACATGGGCCCTGATTTATGTAACCAGTCTTTACGGTGATACTTGGAAACATTTATTGTTACTGGAAGGATAGTAACAGTAATAACGGGGGCGGTTGCTTAAACACCTAGTTCATGATGGTTGTGTGCTGGACGCTTCATGTGTGTTATGACATTTAAAAATCAAGTGACCCTCTGAAGTGGATATTGTTATCTCCCCATTTTACAGATGGGGAAACTCAGGGCAAGGGATGTTAAGCTGAATCCACTTTTCGTTGTTATTGTTGCTGTTGTTCTTTGAGACAGAGTCTCTGTCTCTCAGGCTGGAGTACAGCATCTCGATCACGGCTCACTGCAGTCTCAGCCTCCCAGGCTCAAGTGATCCTCCCACCTCAGCTTCCCAAGTAGCTGCGACTACGTTGCATGCTACCACCCCCAGCTAATTTTTGTGTTTTTTTGTAGAGACGGGGTCTTACCAGGTGGCCCCGCATGATCTCAAACTCCTGGCCTCAAGTGATCTGCCTGCCTTGGCCTCCCAAAGTTCTGGGATTACAGGCATGAGCCACCACTCCTGTCCTGGATTCACTTTGATGGCTCAAGACAGTTGTTTTCCTTGACTGGGTTTATCTTTTTTATTATTTGCTATTCTCCTCCTATTTTGACAGCCCACATCATTGAGTCAGGGGTTAAAGCGATTTTTGCCCAGCCCAGCTCGCATCCACATCTGCCTTTGAGCCCCTGTGTCCACCCAGCAGCAATCTCTTTCTCTCTCATCCTGACAGTTTCTTTCTGTGTTGGGGCAGGTGGGCAGCAATGCTGGCATTGTGGGGATGACCAAAGAACACCTAGGCTTGGCACTGGCACTCAATGTACCTGTCTTTGTGGTAGTCACCAAGATTGACATGTGTCCTGCCAACATCCTGCAAGGTAAGTGAGGCCTCCGGCTAGCAGCAGCTCCTCCGATTGGGAGGCAGAGGTCCCTACTAAACTTCTTTCCTTTTTAAAAATTTTTTATTAGTTCTCTTTAATTTTACAATACGTTTATTTTTATCATATGTTTGACATCAAACACTTCAGCAAAGAAAATAATTATAATAATTTCAAAATGTAATCCCTGGATCCAATAAATATCCTTTATAATCTATTACATTAATCAATATCTAGAAATATATATAGACAAAGTTAGCTAATGAATAAAATAAGAAAAATGACTACATATACTATAAATATCAGGGATGAGGGATCATGCATGATCAGTCGCTCTGCCACTTTCTAAAATAATATTCACATTTGCTTCAGTCACATAAACATTCATTGCAGGAGTTAAATTAGACTGCTGATAACAACTGAAAACTGTGATCTTTGTTAGCTTAAAAGAAAATTCAGTTTAATACAAAGACGTTCAAGATGAACATTTCAGGACCCTTGATCAGAAGCTTTCAATGTGTGTTGCTCTACTTTGTTGTAGGCAAGATTCAAGTAAGGCTAAGACAGGAGAGTGTTGCCATTGAAGACATGATCTAAGAATTGCCTTCTACAGAAGCAAATTATGTTCTGTAGAAACTAGCTAGCTAGCCAGCCAGCCAACAAGATGTTACCAATAAGGGATTCCTTATACTAGCAACTAACCATGTTTAAAAGGCCTTAGCTAATATTACAGAAACAAAACATTTAGAGTAATAGTTATGAATATAGGCATAATTGGTTCCTTGCCTTCTACAAATTATCATCTTTAAAATGATAAGAGCAGGTTTCAACTGTGGTTCTTCTCTGGGGTGAGAAGGTGCAGATACACATGGGTGATCTACTGATTTACATTCTTTGGAAGCAGCTGGATTTGGCGTGATTGTAGGAGAACCCCATGTCCAGTTTGCTGGGCAGACTTCTCCATGGGTTTCTACACACTGGAATGCCTTCACCCAGAAGAGGGTTTCTTCCATGCTTCAGCCCACTGAGACATCATTGACATTCAAGTGCTTGATGACTCCATTGGGGTCATTTATGAGGAGACCTCTTAATGTAAGACCAGGACCTTCGAACGGCACACTGTAGGCTCAGGAAACTTGCTTAGTTAAATCTTACAAGAGTGCAATGTTCATGTGGCCCAAACCACCATTCTTTCTTGGTGTATATATCCAGGCAAGATGGCTAAAGTGGGAGTCCACTGAGACCACAATAACTTCACAGTTCACATCATGAAATTCCTTAGTTTTGTCACTAAAAGCAACAATTTCTGAGCTGGGCATGGTGGCCTGTGCCTGTAGTCCCAGCTACTTGGGAGGCTGAGGCAGGAGAATTGCTTGAAACCAGGAGGTGGAGGTTGCAGTGAGCTGAGATCATGCAACTGCACTCCAGCCTGGCAACAGAGCAAGACTCCATCTCAAAAAAAAAAAAAAAAAAATTCTGTAGGACACACAAAAGTGAAATCCAGAGGATAGAAGAAAATCATCAAATATTTCCCCCTTAAAACATCAAGGCTTAGGTCTTTGAACTCTCCATTGATAGTGGCTATATACTTGAAATAGGGCACATGCTGGGTGACAGCAGGTGCATGACATGAGGACCTGGAGCTAATGAATTTTGCTTGACCAGAACCAGACTGTAATATGTTTGTCAAGCTTGTTCTCCCAGAAGCAGCAGGCCTGAGGGCTGCCATGGCAGAAATGCCCCAAGGAATGGCACTTACAGGTCGGGCAACTGAGGCTCAGAGCAACTTTCCCACAGCAGCTGCCATCTTCAGTACACAGGGGTGCCCCGGGTAAAATGTCTTTTCTTTGTCTTGTACTTAGATCTTGGCCTGAATTTCCATCAGCCCAGAATCTTTTGCTACTTCTTCCCCTATTTAGTTCTTGGTCTGAGCACAGCCTAGAATTATCCTCTTCCTTGTTCCTTCCGGTTCCAAGTGCGGAGTTCCTGAGATCCTGAATCTCGCATCTCTTTTCAGGTGATGCCAGGCAGAAGGAGTTGGGCTCTACCAGCTAAGCTGGATATATATGGGGAAGTTTGGACAGAGGGTCTAATGACCTGCTACTACCAGAGCTTTGACACAGGGTTGCAGGACCAGGGCTTTGTGCCTTTCTCCCTCACTGCTAAAGATTGTAGAAATGTATCCCTTTGGGAGGCCTCATAATAAGGGTCTCTGTAGACTCCTAAATGTCTAAGAGATCCTTTTGTTGGATGAGATTTTTTTCCAGGAAGTAGTGCATTTTGAGAACTGAAGTGTGAACTGCATTGTTTTTCTTGGGGACCCTCAGGTCACATGCCTACAGGAGGCAGGTCATCTAGACACAAGAGAAATCTGCCAGGTTTCAGTTGCAGAACCCTAGAAAAGAAGGCCTCTCTGTGGTTTCCTTATTCTAGCACACCCAAAGTTTCGATCCTCCTTTTTGCTTCTCCAGGCATTGTGGCATTTAACACTGGTCCGTCTATCTGTCTGTCTCCTGCTTGCGTCAGTAATGAGTGGACCCATCTTGCCTTGGAAGCCTGGTCAAAGAGAAGGCTGTGTCCCCCTAATTCTCTTCCATTTCACCCTTTAAGAAACCCTGAAGCTGTTACAGCGCCTGCTGAAGTCACCAGGCTGCCGGAAGATCCCTGTGCTGGTGCAGAGCAAGGATGATGTGATTGTCACAGCCTCCAACTTCAGCTCCGAAAGGTAATGGGTGGGGAGCGCACACTTCAGGCAGGCACCCCTGCAGGCAGGACCATAGTGAGTGATGGGCCTGGAATGGCTGTCGGTTTGGGCATGAGGTCTCATGAAAACAGCACATCAGAACACCTCTTCCTATTCAGAGATTGGTGGAAATAGAAGTTTCTGATCTTAGCACAGGGTCTCCCATGCATTTATATCATGTAACCCAGATTGTGAGGTGCTGGCGTTCCTGAGGTTAGCATCCTGGCTGAGACTTTAGTGTCCTTATCTGTGAATTGGGAAGAACATTCCCTTCCCTGTAGGGCTCCGATGAATGTTGGAAATGAAGTATGCAGAGCACTTAGCGCTGTGCCTGGCTGATGATGGCAGATACACAGCCATTTTTGTAACTCAGGTTTTTATACTGTTGTTCCTCAAAAGCTCACTAATCATAGATCAGGTTTGGCATTTACTCATTATGTATTCTTTCATTCCATAAATATTTATTGGATGTTTGTTCTGCCAGTCTCTTCATCTAGATGTTGAGGATTCAGAGTTGAATTGAACACAGTCCTTGTCCTCATGGTGTTCAGTTCCTTGGTTAGAGATGTTCTCTTGATAATGGTGAACTCTATGAACTCTGCCTCTTCGCTCAGAGCAGCCTGGCTTTTTGCCAATGCCTCTGCCCTGATGTGATCGTCAGTACCATCAGTTGGCCAGAAGAGGGGGCATGTTTCAGGCAGCCCCATTTGAGCTTGTTCATATTTCCAGTGCCTATTCTGTGCACTATTCTAGGAGCTGTGGGGAATGTCTAATTCCTAATCTAAAGGATTTTAATTCATTCACCCTAAATAGGAGTGATAGAGACTGTTTGCAGGACTCTGAAAAACCAGATGCAATCACGTGTAACAGAAAAAAAGCTCTCCAGGAACTCAGAGGAGTTGAGAGTGTCCATCCAGGAAGGGATTTATGGAAGAAATGGTATTTGAGATGAGCTCAGAAGGGTGAGAGGGCCTGGTATTTCAGTAAAGGGGAAATAATTTAGGAAGGAAGGTCAGAGTGAGCAAATCCATAAGGGCAGAAAAGTGCCAAGGTTTTAGGAGAAGGGAAAGTTCCCTAGTGTGGCTGGAATGTAGGAATTTGCAAGAAGTGAATCTGCAGAGATGCCTACAAGCCCACGCAAAGGGCTCTTTGTTGGGAGAGGGATTCAGGTGTCTTCCCTGCAGTGGAAAGGTGCTTAAGGGTTTTAAGCAAGCATGCGTGTGCTTGAGGAAGCAGCAGTCATGAGGTTCCAAACTAGGGCAGTGGTGGAGGACAGGGAGGAGAGGACAGGTGTCAGAGACAGAACTGAGTGAGAGAAGAAGGCCTCAGAGCAGGGTAGCCAGGAGTTTGCTAGGTCAGGGCAGAGAGGTCAAGCCCTCGGAGGCAGGTGAGGGAGGGGTAGGGTCACAAATAGTGGCATCTGTTCCTTGAGCCCTCTTGCTGTCCCCGTCCTGTATCAGGGGAGGAGCTGGCCTCCTGAGCTCCTCTTTGCTTTCTTCCTTCCTCTTCTCCCTCTGCTTAGGATGTGCCCGATATTCCAGATCTCCAATGTTACAGGCGAGAACCTAGATCTGCTGAAGATGTTCCTCAACCTCCTCTCCCCCCGCACCAGCTACAGGGAGGAGGAGCCTGCTGAGTTTCAGATCGATGACACCTACTCTGTCCCAGTGAGTGGCTCTGGGCAGGTGGCTGGGTGGACACATCCTACAGTGCATCAAGGGGTGGGGTCTGTGCTGGGGATGGACTTATGAGGCCAGGGTCTTCTCCTTGGCAGGGTGTGGGGACAGTAGTGTCGGGGACAACACTGAGAGGTCTGATCAAGCTGAATGACACGCTGCTGCTGGGCCCAGACCCCCTGGGTAACTTCCTGTCCATTGCTGTAAAATCCATCCATCGCAAGCGCATGCCTGTCAAGGAGGTGCGGGGTGGCCAAACAGCATCCTTTGCGCTGAAGAAGGTGAGTATCAATGATACTGAAAAGTCCCCTCAGACTCCATTATGCTAGGCTCTGGGCCAGATGCCGCACTCACCCACTCCCGTCCTCATGGCTGCTCTGCAAGGTTGAGATTACTGGCTTCATTTTTATAGATGAGAAAACTGAGGCTCAGAGCCCAGGGACTTGCCCAAGACACACAGCTTGGAAGTGCTAGAGCGAGGACTACCTGCCTCCTAAGCTCTGTTTCTCCCTCTGGTGCCTGAGCACGGTGCCCTGAGCTCAATCTTAAGGTCAGATAGGAGTATCCCTGCTGTGCAAGGATCCTTCTATGTAGGGCTGTTGGGATCTGTGCCAAATCCTCTTTCCATTCAGCCTTCTGTCTTCTGGGGTTTGGGGTGGGTGCTATTTCTGGGGTCACCTACCTTACCCACCAGCCAAGTTAACCAGGAAAAGTCCTTCCCCACAGTGATCAGGTCATGCTCACCTGTTCCTTCCCCCTGAATGCTTGCCTGCCTTTGCCTCCTCATCCATCCTTCATGGCCCAGCAGCTAAAGTGCTAATGCCTGCATGAAGCCTTCCTGACTCCGAGTAACAGTGTTGACTCTTCCCATGGAGCACTGAGGCTGCTCCTGCTGTACACCCTAGAAGGCTTGTGGTCCAGTGGTGAGGAAACCAGGCCGAGTTGGGGTGGTCCCTACCCCTAGAGAGACTCTTGGTCCCTGAGACCAGGGGCGAAACCAGAAGGCATCATTGTCCCTGAGGGCTGGGGTTCCCTCTTTCTTTCAGATCAAGCGCTCGTCCATCCGGAAGGGCATGGTGATGGTTTCCCCACGTTTGAATCCCCAAGCCTCCTGGGAGTTTGAGGCCGAGATTCTCGTCCTCCACCACCCCACCACAATTAGCCCGCGCTACCAGGCCATGGGTAGGTGTCTGAGGCCCTGCCAGCCCAGGAGGCCCTGGTGCTAGCTCCCGTCAGAAGGTGCTCCAGCAACCCAAGCCCCCCAGTTCCAGCTGCAGCTGCGTGGTGGGTCTCCTTCCTATTTAGTGATACTGTTCCTCCTGTTCTACCCATGAGCCACAGAGTTGATTCACTCCCACAAACAGTGAGGGCTGGGCTCTGAGACCCAGACCTTTCCTCAAGGACCTCACATGCATTCCTTCAGCTAGTGTCTGCTGAACACTGCTGTGTGCCCAGCGGTGTTGCTAAGATGCTGGGAACAAAGATGAGGTAGATGGACAAGGACCCTTCCCCACAGAAACCCACAGTCCAGCAAGGAGGCACATGTGCAGAGTATGCTGTAATCCCAGGAACTAAGACCCTTGTCTGCACAGGGCCCGGGGGTGGGGGATGACAGGTGGGCATTAGCTGGAGAAAAAGGTAGACGGTAGAGCAGGATCAGAGCCAAGAGCAGGCTTCACAGGGGTCTGTGGCCCCAGAGATAAGCCCTCGCCCTTCCACAGCTCAAGCATATTTCATGCTTTCACTCACTGCCTCCCCTTGTCTGGAAGCCACCAGGTGGCTCCAGCCTGTTCTGACCTCTGGCTCCCTTGACAGTGCACTGTGGGAGCATCAGGCAGACAGCCACCATTCTGAGCATGGACAAGGACTGTCTGCGTACTGGGGACAAGGCCACTGTACACTTCCGCTTCATCAAGACCCCTGAGTACCTGCACATAGACCAGCGGCTGGTGTTCCGGGAAGGCCGCACCAAGGCTGTTGGCACCATCACCAAGGTATGGCCAGGGCAGACCTTGCCTTGCCTCCAGGAAGCACCAGGGGCCACTCCTGTTCTGTGACCTTGAGCACAGGGCAGAGGTTAGTCACTACCCTGGGAGAGCTGGACCCACTGAGGTGTGGCCTCGGTGCCATCTCTCTACTCCTTTAGAGGTATCCCGTGGCCTCCTGTCCTGGGCACTGGTGACCATGGAGAGGAGAAGTAGGGTTGGGGTGTGGCCTTCCTCCATAGAAAACGGTGACAGAATGTCTGGGCCCTGCCAGGCTCAGCCTCCATGGTGCTGGCAAGGGTTCCTCTGGCCTCACTGGGGCCATGTCTCAGGTCTCCTGTCAGAGCAGAGGTCTGGTTGGAGTGAGTGCTGGACGATGCAGGGGTTATGGACCTGAGTTCTCTTGGGGCTTATGCTGTTTGTGTGTCCCAGGACCTACCTTTTGCCCTCTGCAGACCTTGCTCTTGGTCTTGGGGAGAGGCATTTGATAGAGGGGTTTGACCCCTGCTCCATACAAAGGAGGTACTGGCCCCAGCCTGTCTGAGATCTTGGAATCAGTCTTCGGCTGGCCTTGGCTCCAGAAAAGGCCCCCATTGATGGTCAACCTGGGGTTGCAGATGTCCTTGAAGGCCTGCATGCCCCTGGGACTGGCTGAGTTTGGCTAAGGCTGCAGCAAACACTGTAATGTCCTCTGGGACTCACTGGGCTTCTTTCTTGCTTTGTATGAGATAGAAGTTGCGCCACAAGGGAAGATTTCAAGGCAGTTACTTCTGGCTGGCAGCTTTTAAGATTTCTGAATAGCCAAACTCCAAATGTTTCCAGCTGATGAGACATTCACTTGGTCTCTTTGGGAGGCCTGGACTTAACACTTGCCCTAGACTCTTGTCACGGGGCCAGCAGCAGGGTCCTGGGACTGGAGCTGCAGCTCATGCTCTGAGGAGTCTCCACCAGCTTAGCAATGAGGAGAGCCCAGAGCTTCACTTGCCAGGCTCTGGGCAGGCTCTGGACCTGGGGGGCTGGACTGAGCAGGAGGTGGGAGCGAAGTTTACAGA